GTGCAATTGGAGCAAAAGAAGCCAGAATGAATAAAAAATATATATATGCGAGTATAAAAAAGAAAGAAATCTTGTACAAGTGCAAGTGGAGTACATATTGGGGTTGTAGCTGCAGTGCAGTGCCAAAGCAAAGATAACACCAAAGTGCACTTTAATCTTTGTGAAGAAATCTCGACAACGACGATGCAGCTAAAACGAAATATGATTGAAGTGTTGCTCATGGTGGAGCGAAAGGACACAGTACAGCGACATCACTGCGGCAGGGGGTGAGATGGGGCAGAGCGGGGTGGAGTGATATGTGTGACAGCAGCGGCAATCAACGCCGCGCAAATGAAGCGAGAGAGGCAAGTGATGACTGGGCTCTGGAGCTCCGAATACCAGCGCCATCGACAATTCAAACGATGGCTGGCTCTGGCGACGTCAAAAAGGCACAAAGAAGAGTGGAGTGGAAAAAATAGGCGTTGAGTGGCATCGTTGTAGAAAAATTGGAAAAATGAAAAGTGCAGAAGGCAAAGGAAGCGCACGAAGCACTAGCAGAAGAAGCAGAATCGGAATCAGAACCAGGAGCACCACCAAACTCAAGTCAACTCAACAGCTGTTGATTGAAAGGGGCGGGGCAGATAACTTCAAATGCAGAAATTGCACACACATACACACGCCCATATTTTCCATACGCACACTGTGGAAGAATCTCGCACATATAGTGAAAAAAATTGGAAAAGCTTCCTGAATAACTTTGGAAAATGTCTCATTCTCTCTTACCATGATAAGCCAATCTTATATGCAAGCTGAAGCTACGATTAGACTCTGAAATCCGCAGGAATTGTCCAAAGTGGTTTGCTGCATGTGTTTTTTTGTGAGTTGTGCAATTAATTTTGCCCTTAAGCATATAATTTAAAGGTGTTGCCACCTGCTTGCAAACTCTTCAGTATTTGCTTTATAGTTTTAAGGCAAACAAAGCTAGTTTGGTGGAATTTGTGCGCCTCTATATACTAAGTATATTACATTTGAATTGTAGGAACTTGAAACGAATTGTAAATGACTTTTTGACTTTTGATGCCCAATTTTGTGGCATCTATCTGACTAATCCGCTGATTTTATTCACATTCAATGAATTGTATTTCTCTGAAATTGTTTTCAATTACCGATCGATATTCACATCGTGCCAACCGCCACCACCAACCACACCCACCGTGCAGTTGAATGCTGAGTGAATGGGTTTGGCGAGTGGCACGCAAAGGCAAAGGCGCGCGTATTATAAAGGCCGAGAATCAGACAACATCTTAGCAGATGGCGTGGGGGGGGGGGGGGTGTATAGCGGCTGACAGCCGACATCAGATAACGATGTTGAAGCCTACATGAATGCAACACGCACACACAAACACATAACAACAAAGCTGCTGTCCAAGCTAACCTAAAAAGGAAAAAATGCAACGAAGAAAAAAGAAAGTAGAGTCACTGCAACAAAATGAAATAAAAACGGGTCATTGGAGTAAGATGCCACCTTCCCCCGCAACAAAAAAAAAAAAAAAAAAAAAAGAAAACGAAAATAAAATATCAGCAGAAGAAGAAGACGAAGAGAAAATAAACCCTTATCCCACATTGCCATGTGCCACAGAACGCCTTTGAAATGCAAATTACACTCGAGGGGCATGAAGCGCGATAGAAAAAGAAGGAGTATATGCGGAAGCCAGCCCAGCACTGGTAGCATTGTAGAGCCATAGAGCTCTGTATTTAGTGGCTGCACCTGCTGCATATTTTTGCGTGGTGTAGGTCGCGACTATTGCTGAAATGCGGCAACGTTGCTGGCACAGCGCGATTCGGCATTGCTGTTGTTGTTGTTGGTATTATTATTATTGTTGTTGTTGTTGTTATTGTAGCTGTTGCATTCAACAGCATTTACATTGCGGGGAGGAATGTTTCATTTAAGCACACACCAAACAACCACCCCCACCCTGTTTATTCAGCATGGAGCGCTTACATTAAAAAGGCAAAAGAAAGGACAAAAAGTCTGTTCTTGTTGTTGTTTTAGCAGTATTGTAATAAACACAAACAGAGAGGCTGAGGAATGAGAACGAGAGGCAAGAAGTGCGCGCCAAGAAATGGCATAATGCTGCACACACACATATACGTACATACATTCGAGTTCGAGTTTCTCCCCGCCCCTTCCGACCACGACTTGACACAATAGCAATGGCCAAATAAAAATTTATAGCTTCGCTAAAAGCTGTGTGTACACACTGGTCGGTCCCTCGGTCAGTACGGGACGAGGAGTCGACTTTTATGGGCTGCTAAAAAGCAAGGCAGTTACAATAAAGAGAGCAACTGAAACTTTTCCAATTGTTTTAAAGCACTTATTTAAAGCTCTTGCGAGAGTTTCATGTGGCATCATTAAGATGAGATTAATGTTGCTCTATGAAATCCATATACATACTCATTTGTACATATAAACATATGGAAAAGGTCAAAATTGATTTAAATTGTAATTAATATAAGTGTATCTGTTAATGACAATGAATAAATAACAACAATTCAATTAGAATTGCGAATTCAGTTGCCAGTTTTCTTCAATTGTGTTCAATTGTGTTCTTTCCGTTACAAGTCAAAGCATCAAATATTACTGAAAGTCGAAGGGTACGGACAGCTTTCAAATTCTTGAAACAAGCAAATGACAGAAGACTTTGTCGTCCTATGTGAAAATAAAAAATCCCCTTAATTCTGAAAGCTGAAAGTGGTAGACTTTGGCTTGTGAGATATCGGAAAAGGCCAAGTTAGCGCATTTTATTTAAGAACAATCTAATATTAGGTTCTTCTATATTTCGGCTTCCTTAATTTCATGCATTCATTACCATTATTAATACAAAACGTAAGAAAAATATGTTCTCATATATTAATTCAAAATATTTACTTCAAATTTTAACCACAACCTCTTTATTAAAATCTGTAAATAGCCGCTAGCTTTCCATAAATCCACCAGCCTTTTCTATACATTGTACACAACCTAAAGCAATAAAATCCAGGCATAAAAGAATTTTTCCACCTTGATGCATCATTTCCCCCCACAACCACAGTGCAAAAGTTATATAAAATTTATGTAAATTGCTGAAACCATAAAGAATTTCATTACCTCTCTTAAAGCGCACGGCGCTAACAATTGTAAAGAATAATGCGCGTCTAGATAAAAGCAAAAAAGTATTAAAAAAAAAGATGCCGCACGAATTAAACAATAAAAACAATAAATATTCATTACCGGTTGGAGTTATTAAAAATTTCCGCTGTGTCCAAGACAATGCAACGTGTTGACACAATTCGTAGTGCCGGCAGCTTCTTTCCCTGTGGGCAAAAGTTGCGGGTGGGTTGCGAGAAATGGTTGGCAGTCGGCCAGTACGGTAGTTGCACTTAAAACAGAATTCAATTGCTGTAAATATTATAATTATTATACAAATTCCGCTTCAACAGCGGCTCGCCGCGACGCTTAAAGTGAAGCAACAAAAATGTATGCAGCTATTTGTTCACGAACTGTTTTTATACTCTTCATGTCCCAAATATCAAATGGGTATGCTAAGTTGGTTAAAAATTATAATTAAGCTTAAAGCGCGACTTGTGACTGGCTCCACAAAATGCAGGGAGATGAGATGTCTGCCTGTAGGAACGAATTTTTCCGGTACGTTCTTCTTATCAAAATGAAAGTTCTAAATTTCAATTATAATCCACGCCATATCTAAAATGTCACTCTTTATCAGCATATTTGCAGTTCATTAGCTATTGTACATATACTAATTTAATATTGTATTGTAATATTGATTGATGTGTACACAAATAATATATGCGGCGTATTGGATGAACATAATTGATGAAACCCTAGAAATCTAAGTTCGTACAGATATATCCAATTAACAATAGTATAGTTAGGAAAATTTTATTGATGTATGCGGCCATAGTTGACTTCATTGACGACTTGATTTATATACAAACAAATGGAATCAGAAAATGCAAACAGAAAATCTAAATAGCTAAAATAAAAATAAATTAACTAAAAAATTAAATACAGAAACTAAAAATAACTAATATACAATCTAAAAAACTTCAAAATAGCTATTCAAAATAGAACTTACAAGTATAGCTTATAAATAATATAAATCGTAGATCTGCCATAATAATTCACTGTCGAAATCATTTGGGAATATTAGTTAAAGAGTTTTGTACACCATATTTAATCGACTTACATTTGGTTTATGGATTTTTACCCCAATGTGTTGATTGAATATCCCAATCAACTGTCAATATAAATAAAAGTAAGCCTTTGGACATTATTTGTGATTTATGTAAAAAAGTTGTGAAACATCGTCAACTGCCCTCTAAAGTAGAATTTTAAAAATATTACTATGTTGTAATTAATTTCAAAAAAGAGAACTTTTTTAACCGAATATTGCCATCAATATTTTTTATTTATATGGATAATATATGAAACCTGATTGAGTGCGGCAGAAATACGATTTCTAGAGTATTTTATTGTCGGCTGTATGGCACTATGTAGATTTCTTATTTGCTTGTTTTTCCTTTTCAAACGCCACACAGACATTTGGTTTGGCGTTTGCATTAACATTTTTTGCCTCGGTGGTTTATTTTTTTCACATTTTCTGCCTCTGTTTTTTGCGCTTTGTGGTGTGCTGTGCCCTGTGTGTGTGTGTGTGTGTGTGTCTGTGTACGTTTTTCGCGCTTTAATTACATTTTCGTGGTTTTCATTTTGTGCGGTGCGCACGCCATAAATAATTTTTCGTTGTATGTAGTACGAAGGAGTTCTTTTTTCTCTCCCATCTACGGTTGCATAAAATTACACTGCATCAGCATTAATTTGCTTAAAACGAAGCTGAGGAGTGGCCATTCGAACGAAATGCTCTGCCAAACGTCGTGCAAACAACACACATTTTGATGTCTATTTTTCACTCAGTCACAATGCTTACGTTTTCCAATATCTCTCTCTTTTTTGCTTTTTGCAGGTCACGTGGGCGGTTGCGGCATAACGGAGGAAGTTTCACAATGGATGGAGAACATACAAAATTCAGCGGTTGAAGAGCTGCCCGAGCCCATGTCAAAGGATGTGCAGAAGCTGCAACGGAAGCAGCAGCATAAAAAATCAGCCCCATCGCCGCAGCAGCCGCCAAAGAAATACAGCAACGGCGATGATGACTTCAAATTTCCCCATCAGAAGTACACGAAGGAGGCGAACTTTGCCGATGGTGCATTCTATGATCCCAGCACCGGTCGCCGTTTGGGCAACACAGCCAATATCGCCGACTGGCATGAGCTGGTTCATGAGCGAGTGAGACGCGCCAGTCTTGGTAATGGCGGCAACTCCGGCCAAGGCGGCGGTGGCGGCAGCGGCGGCTCAGGCGGCACATCGGGCTCTGGACGTGGACGCGAGGATAATAAGAATACCTGCTCGCTGTATATACAAACGGATCCATTGATTTGGCGGCATATACGCGAGGGCATTGCCGATGTAAGTCTCACTGCAACAGCAACAGCATTTTTCATTGCATACTTGCAGGGGCGAGGCAATGAAAGTTTGATGGCCATGGATCATGCCATCATGCCATCATGGACTCATGGAAGAAATAGTGAGGGTTGGGGGTAGAGCAGGGAGCTGGGAGCGATAGCAGCGCGTGCGCCAAATTAAAAGCGTTTGCGTTAGCGGCGGAGCGGGGGTATGGACGCACACAAAGCAGGCTTCCCCTGCTGAATGGAACATTGGAGTTGGTTGGCTCTTGAAACAAAGCAAAATCCATGAATTTTACAATTTTTTTTACGAGCAAGCGCTTTACATTTGGGGGCTGGCATAAAACAAAAGCGCGCAAGCGAGCTGTCAAGCAGGGGGCGGTGGGATATAGAAGTGGCAGGCGGCGACAGGCACGTACAGTTGGGCAGACGATGTAGTGAGCTGCTTGTGTTTTGTTTATTTGTAAATATGTACAGCAAAAATTGACTGATACGCTACAGAAAGAATGGAGTAGTTGGCTTCAAGAGCAAAGCACTTAAAACTTATTTTAAATATTTTAGAAAACCTAAACAAAAATTGTACTAAGTCTTCGAAATAAAAATTAGATTCCAAAAACTGCTAGTGTAGTAAAGGTTGAGTTAAATAAAAAATTAAAGAATTTGACAGTCAAAGAAGAATCTTTAGGGAATCTTAGCAAATGCATTTTAACGGGACAAAAATTTTAATCCATATATGTCAACCTCTGTGTATTTTTTTTTGTTTTTTTTTTTTGACAAATTTAAATTTTTTTCCATCGGAGCAAAGAGCTACAGAATGTTTGAAATTTGAAAGACTCCCTGAAAATAAAGCCCCCAACAAAGCCTTGGAGGTATTTAAAAAATAATTTATTAAAACGATAACCGTAAAATTTCGTACTTATTATGTAAACCAATTGACTTGCAAAAATCTCATGCTGTTTCAGTATTAGCGAAAGAATGATTGTGATTCTTTCGTAACGGCACAGAATCCCTTTTAAACCCCTTTCGGTTCATATATCATTTTATATCGGCAAACAATATTGTTCCCTATGGACGATATATTGCCCATTCAATGTCAGCCCTTTTCAATATTGTAGCGCATTCAATCAACCATCAGGACCCGCTGCCATGCTCTGCTCTTCAGCATGTAATTTCTTTGCCGCGCACTTTATATTTACGTTTAAAAATTTTTTTGTTTGCGACAACATTGTCCTCAGTTCTCGTCTCTATTGTCGCACTCCTTGCTCTCGCACTTTTTTTCTGTTTATTTGAAATGAGTTTTGCATAATTCGCGCATTTGTTTCGCGCTGCGTTTCGTGCCGCATTTTCCTCTTCGCCTTTTTTTTTTGTTTTGTTTTTGTTTTTGTCTCTCTTCGTCAGCGACAGCCTCGCCAGTGCCTGTCGGCGTTTTGATTTTTGAGCCAAAACTGCCGTTGGGTAGAGGCCCCAAAACTCTAACCACCCGCATCAAGGCGTATAAATTTTGGAAAAATATTCGACGAGTTTAGCTGAATTTGCATTTTTATACAAATATATTTGAAAAGTGTTTGCCATGAGGGAGCGAGAAGGGTAGTGGGGTAGGGGAGCATTAAGTTGGATTGGGTTGCTCTTCGTCTGTTTGTGTTTGTCTGGCTGGCTGGCCCACCTCCCTATTTTGTTTGTGGGAGTCCTTGTTTACACAAATGTCAAGCGCACTTATTTCACGTTTGAGATTTGTATTATGACTGCGCCTAAAGAGCAGCAGTGGATGCGTTTTCACGAGTTTACTCGTATACATGCATATATTTGAATATTAAATTGCTTGCTTTAACTTATCATTCCCTATATCTGCCCATTTTCCGTTTCTCTGCAGCACGATCGCGGTCACAGGAGCGAGGTGGATGAAAAAACACGCGAGGAAATCACATCCCTGATTGCCCATCATGTGACGGCCGTTAATTACATTTACCGCAACACAATATTCGATGGACGCAGTGTGCATCGCAACATTCGCTTTGAGGTGAGTGCAAGGGACCACCACACAATGACTGGGGGTGCAAAGGAAAAGCAAACATTGAAGGACCCTAAAGGGTCGCTACGGTGCCACAAACGTTGAAATTGACGTGCCAATGTGAAGTAACTAATTCATTAGCTACGAACTCCCTCCCGTAAAGATATATAAAAAGGATACTTCATAAAGGGTGTGCATTCGGGTCTTTATCAATTTAATTAGCAGCTTCGCTGAGAGTTGAGTGTAGTATTACAAATACAACTTAATATACGGTGTCTTTCGAACTTATAAGCCTTGCATGGCAATCTGTTTTCAATTTTTAATAGACGTCTTAATTAAAAATCATATGAGGTAGGTAGAGGTAGTACATAAAACATTTCCTTCTTCTTTATTTTCCTTACAATTGTTGATAGTGAGTGAATAAAGCATAGAAGAAACCATATCAATTAACTTAAAGATACCCTATCTGCTCTAGTCCATCTCATTAATTACCAAAACTCTGTTTATTTGCCAAAAGGTGCAACGCATCAAAATTGACGATGACTCTGCCTGTCGCACCTCGTACAATGGCCCCCACAATGCCTTCTGCAACGAGCACATGGATGTGTCCAACTTCCTGAACTTGCACTCTTTGGAGGATCACTCAGACTTCTGTCTAGCCTATGTGTTCACATACAGGTAAGCGAAATGGGTTAACTGCTTTAAAATTCCTTCAATACCTTCTTCACATAACAGAGACTTCACGGGCGGCACTCTGGGCCTGGCCTGGGTAGCCAGCGCTTCAGGTGCGTCTGGCGGTATTTGTGAAAAGTACAAAACCTATACAGAGACTGTGGGTGGACAGTATCAGAGCACAAAGCGGTCGCTCAATACCGGCATCATTACGTTTGTCAACTATAATAGTCGAGTGCCGCCAAAGGTTTCGCAGCTAACGCTGGCACATGAGATTGGTCATAATTTTGGATCACCGGTAAGTAGTGTGTGGCATACCAGTTAAGGACAAAAAGTAACGAGGCTCTCCCTTTATCTGATAGCACGACTACCCGCAGGAGTGCCGTCCAGGGGGCCTCAATGGCAACTACATTATGTTCGCCAGCGCCACTTCGGGTGATAGACCCAATAATTCCAAGTTCTCACCTTGCTCCATACGAAACATTTCCAATGTGCTGGATGTCTTGGTGGGTAATAGCAAGCGGGATTGTTTCAAGGCCTCGGAGGGTGCCTTCTGTGGCAACAAGATTGTGGAATCCGGCGAGGAATGTGACTGCGGCTTCAATGATGAGGAATGCAAGGACAATTGCTGCTACCCACGTTTGATCAGCGAATACGATCAGTCTATTAACTCCAGTGCCAAGGGCTGCACACGACGCGCCCAGACACAATGCTCCCCCTCACAGGGTCCCTGCTGTCTGTCACAATCCTGCAAGTTTGTTCCCATGAACAGCCATCAGAAGTGCAAGGAGGAGACCGAATGTTCCTGGTCCAGCACCTGCAATGGCACAACGGCCGAGTGTCCAGAGCCCAAGCATCGCGATGACAAGACAATGTGCAACAATGGCACAGCCCTCTGCATACGTGGCGAGTGCAGCGGCTCCCCTTGCCTACTGTGGAACATGACCAAGTGCTTCCTGTCCTCGGCCAGCCTACCGCATGTGAACAAACGCAAGTTGTGCGAGCTGGCCTGCCAATTGGGCAACAACACATCCACCTGTCGCAGCACCAGCGAATTCGCCGCCGAATATAACATAAAACCGGGCGGCATTAGTTTGCAGCCTGGTTCGCCTTGTGATAATTTCCAGGGCTATTGCGATGTGTTCCTCAAGTGCCGCGCCGTGGATGCTGATGGCCCGCTAGTGCGACTTAAGAACTTGCTGTTGAATCGCGAGACTCTGCTCACAGTTGCCGAATGGGTTACCGTGAACTGGTATTTGGTAGTGCTGATGAGTGTTGGCTTTATAGTGATTATGGGCGCATTCATCAAATGCTGTGCGGTTCATACGCCCAGCTCTAATCCCAAGAAACGGCGAGCAAGACGCATTAGTGAAACACTGCGTGCTCCCATGAATACGTTGCGCAGAATGGTAAGGTTTATCAAATGAAAGTAGATACAGAGTTTAATTCTTGGTTTTTTATTGAAAAGCTAAAAATATAAATACAATTTTTCTAAAATGTTAATGCCGTTTCCGTTTCGTTTCGCAACAGTTTGTTAGGACACGGAAATTGGCGAATTACAATAAACGTTCCAACTAATCTTTCCATTCCGCTTTACAGCAACGACATCCACACCAGCGTGGCGCTGGACCGCGCAGCATACCACCGCCAGCGCATGAGGCGCAACAGTATCCGCGTGGTGGCGGAGGAGGTGGCGGTGGCCCACCTGGTCGTCATCATCCACGCTCCCATCATCATGGTGCACACCCGCACGAATGGGACCGCCAACAGGGCGGGCACTCGATTGTCCCGCTGCCCACAGGGGGCAGTCATGGCAGTCGCGGGGCGGGTCATCCTTCAACGGCGGCGGCAGCTGCCAATTCGCGACGCAGCGATGGACGAGGTGCTCGTCCCAGTAGCAGTGGCAGACCACAAAGCAGCGCCGGACCGCGCTCGGCAGCAGCGCATGGCGGGTATGCAGAGCAGGCGGGCGTGGGTGGTATTGGTGGAGGTGTGCAGGCGGCCATTAGTAGCGGTGGCGTTGTGGCACGTGCCCAGCTGCCGCTGCCAATGCCGCCGGCCAGTGCACAACAGCAACAACAACACGCACTCTCACCGCAACAGCAGCAACAACAACAACAACAGCAAGCGTATTATGCGCCGAAAGGTGCGTCCCCCACAAAACCCTTTAGAAAATGTAGCGTAGCTAGCCAGCTAGTCTAGACACGAACCGTTCCTTAGTTGTGTTCCAATGCCACTTGATTAAATCAAATTTGTTAATTTGTTTCCCGTTTCTTTTTCCATTTCGTTTCTTCTTTTTTTTGCGTATTATTTTGCATTCATTTCCTGAAATGAAATTCAGAACTACCACCACGTAATAAATCCCGCTCATCACGTATGAACAATGCCAACAACAACACCACATCCACAACAGCCACAGCCTCTACGGCGGCCAGTAGTAGTAAGAGCGCCAAAAGTGCCAAAACCAAAGACTCAAAACATCAACAGCAACAACACAAATCGAAAGACAAACACAGCAGCAGTCGCAGCAGCAGCAAAGAGAAAGCCACGAAACCGCGTCGCAACATTGTCTATTAGTTTGGAACGTTTTGGAATGGAACAACGCACATGCCATACAGCACAACACTACATAGCGAGCTTTTCTAATCCTCCCCTACGTCTCATACACATATGCCTTCCTATAAAACATATACGAGTATTTAAAACGAACACAAACTCCCCCCTCAACGAAAATTGCCACATAACTTCTTAAACGCAATTGGTATGACATTTTTGTATAAATATTGTACAGTTTTGTATTGGATTTTAGTTAAAATTTTTTGTATTCCTCTCCCCCCTTGTATTGTCTTTGATATCTTGCTTTGTTTAATTGTTTTGATTCAGTCATCAACCCTACTAACTTTTCTTAATGCTCCTGATTTGCCGCCTCAGTAGTTTATTTACTCAGTTCCTTGGTTGATTATAGTTTTCCACAATTCCACAACCCCTGTATTGTTGTTGTTTTTGTTATTGCATGCACACGATATAATATAATACATATACATGTTTATAAAATATGACTTTAACTATTATAAATAATTATTGCACAACCAAAAAAAAAAGAAAATTACTTCTAAAATCAGTCATTTTTAGTTACACTATGGTTTTATGTCATTTTGTTGGTTGTAGATTTCTAACATTATAAATAAGTTTACTAATATTGCAAAACTCAACTCCTGAAACAATGGAAATGAAACAAAAGTAGCAGTCACGTGAAACTCTTATATACAAATAGTGCTGTTTTCAGATGTAATTTAAACTTTTATACGATGATTTTAGTTTTGAATTCATTACTGATATGAATCCATAGATTCTAATAATATTCGAACTATTAAAGATTAGATTTACATATTCGATTTAAATAATCTTCGCTGCAAAATATTTGGGCACACAGAACTAAATAGCATGTTAGTAAATTATTGAAGTCATCTTTTGAACTGACAATTAATTCCAAAAACCAAGAAAGAGCGAAAAATATCCAAAATCTTTACTCTTTTCAAATGTAACTTAAGACTCCCAATCCTTATTGCAATATTTTAATTTCTTTAGGAGATGGGTACAACTTTGAAATATTGTAGAGTTCATATACTTGTAATACTAATAATAATACTAATAAGTGAAAGCTTTAACAATCTAACCTTCGTTGTTCGATTGATTCCATAGTTTGTACAATCTCTAGTATCCTATTCACAAAAACAATTGAATCTAATTTAGAAAACGAGCAGATCCGTGCTTGAATTATTTGTATGACCTCTGTGAGTGTGCACGTACAGACACTAGAATACCAGGCGTACCTTTCGCAATTGATTTTAACGGAGTTTGTATTGTATTTAAAAAAAAAAAAAAAACTTATATTGGTGCAATTTTGGGGGTACAGACTCTGCCATATACCAAAACATACAAGTATATACATATATTTTACGTTCAGTGCTGCTGTTTCATTTGCATTGCCATTAAGTTGTGCATTTTATTTACTTTAACGAAATACAAAATGCATTTGCATGTACTTGTTTGTGTATGTGTGCATGCATGTGTGGGAGTGTGAAGTGTATATAAACAAATGGGGCCGGGACGGTGTTGAAAAGGCTCAACAAACAGCCGCCACAAGCCGCAAACAAGCAACTAATTCAATTTTACATCTTTCTCTCTCGCCAATACCATATATAGGCGTCGTGGCGCCGCTACAAGCAAGCTATAGTCGTCCGACATCGTTGCATGAGCAGCAGCAGCAGCAGCAACAACAGCAACAACAACACGCCTATGCTGATGCTTATGCGGCATTGGGACGCGGACACTATGAGTCGACAACGCGGGCGCCGAACAACAGCAAGGTTTGACAGCCGAAAGCGTCGGAGCGGCATAAAAAGCAAAAAACCAAACGACAACAGCAACAACAACAACAGCAACATAAAAAGCCACAGCCACAACAACAACAACAAAAATCAAATGAACTCAAATTAAATGTAAATGTAATTTTTATGCTAATTATTTTTATTTAAACAAAACGAAAATCGAACAACAACAACATGAGAAGGAGAATGAAAAACAAATTGAAGATATTTTTTATTAAATTAATTGATAAATGAAAATGCAAAATGAAAATCATTACTATTATAAATAAATTAAAAAGGCAAACAAAATGCATAACACATACATACATATATATATACACCTACATATATATAGTATACGCGTACATGCACGTACATATATATACACATACATATATATAATGATGGTGTGTGTGCGTATTTACAAAGCAGCGAAACAAACAAATAAAAGCATATAAAATTGATGAAAATTGATGATGAAAAAACGAGCAACAACAACAGCAGTGTTGGATTACAAAAAAACAACTGCAAGAAATTTAATTAAAAATTTAAAATCGCAAAAATAAGTTCTGTATAGAAGAAGAAAAAAACCAACGTGCAAATTAATTAAGCAGTCACCAATTTCGAGCAACAACAACAAACAAAAAACACAATGGCTGCCAAGCATTTAAATTGTATTTAACTGTAACGAGGGCTAAATGTTCAATAGAAGCCGTCAACATGATAAACGCATTTGTAAACTAGCAATAAACAGAAACGGAAAATGATGAAAAACAGTATGCAGAAAGCAAGTCATGCAAGTATTCATTTCTAATTTCCTTTCAAACACTTTCAATTTTTGTTTAACACTAGTTCATTAAAGTCAAGTACTCTATTTTAAAGACAAATTCAATATAAACAGCTAATAGAGTAGTAGTCAAGTAAAAAGTAAATCAAAATTGAGGTCCAAGGAAATTACTAAAAGCAAAGAAAGCAAAGCAGTCTAGTTCAAATACAAGTTTTAGCCTCACACAGTTGTAAACTAATTCTAATTTACCAACAACTCCAGTAGAAATCATACTTTAAAGTTAATGTATGATTTTCTTCAAAATTAATGGCCGATAAAAATGTATAGATTTACAAATTCCCATATTTCCTAAACCAATCTTTTTGAATCGAATAAACAGTTTCCCAGTTCGGGTAGTAGAGAAAGGAATCTACCAATAAGTCATGTAGAAAGCATATTCCACAACTAATAAAGGATTCTCTTGAAAATAATTGTCCGCAAAAACCCGAAGAAAGTACTAAAAGAAAAGAATGTGGAGCAGATTAGCTGAGATCAATAATCAAAGCTTCCAGTAGAAAGAAATCTCCTAAAGTTTTTATTTTTCATTAAATTATTGTAAATCGGCCACACTATATAGGTTATAACAATTTTTTACATTTTACAATTTTATGTTTTAACTCCAGATTTTAATACTATTTAACAAATAATTATTTTACGATATACGATATACTTGTAATTGAAATTTTACTATGTATTTCGAAACCCAGTCCAGAAACATTACTAGCATTGCTGCCCCAGTATATTAATTTGAGTCCGATGTGTTTCTGTTGGGCGTTAAGAATTTGAGATTCAATCGCTAGATGTTTATTTCAGGACTTGCGAATGTATTAAAACACTTCCAATTTCCAACATTTGAGATTGATTTGATATGCTTAACACTAAAAATGTAGTTGTGATATTGCTTAAAATAACACTGTCCGTTTGAGATACGCTTTTATTTTCGAGAAAAAGAGTAAACAAGTGTTTGGCTTCCTCTTCGGTTTTGGTCGTTAGTTTTACATGACGTAGCAAGTTCAGAGTCACAACACATTTAACAAACTGTTTAAGTTTACATGTAAATTACCAAAAAGGAATACAAATATTCGTAACTGTCTCTAGAAAGTGTTGACTGCCTCCGCTCTCCGCTTTTATTAATGAGTATATGCCATAAACCTATCCAGGTTGAAATGCTTTTCTTTAATGATTTTCCAATATTTTTCAGTGTTTAAGTTTCTTACGGCTTTTTCAATACTCAATGTTTATGCAATTTGTAATTTATTGGCTGTCTTTAGAAATATTGTTATAATATTATTTAAAATTACCAAAAAAAAAAGGGGGGCTATCAACTGACTCTCTTTCCTTACAACTGGGTACTTGACTTGAAACATTAAATGCTGCAATTTTCAAAAAGCGTGCCTATGTGCTTTTTAAATATTTTACTTCCACACATTTACTCCCAAAATAAGAAATAACCAATTATCTTTAAACATGATTAATTTATCGTTTGTATTTCTTCATAAAGTGTGGTCAGACATGAAAATTAATTCACGAATGAAATGTTATTTCAGTTAAAGCTAAAATATAGTTTAATGTCTTTTAATACTTTCATTTCAAAGCCTGTTTGTCAAATATAAATTTGTGTGCAAAATATTTGCATGTCTGACCATAGCCTTAGAAATAGCCACACTTATAAAAAAGTGTGTACTATATGTACATGTATGGTCATTATTTTGTATTAAGTTTAAAGCTTTATGTCTCTTAAAACTGGTTTAGTCAGCCACTGATTACGTTAAGTTATATTATTTTATATCTCCTTAAATATATTCTGGGTTAGTTTCAGTATTAAGACTTTTTTAAATTAAACAGAATTCTATGGAATCAGTTACATATTTTTTGATATTTCGTTTCAATGCAATGGCTCAAGCGTTCGATTAGTTTTTTCGAAATTTAAATACATTTTATATAAAATGGAATATCTACTACAATATTCTGTAGACTCTATCCATCCATGCCAGCAATTGACAATTTAAAGAAGTTTTTGTATTTTAACTAATCAGATATATGCTTATATAAATATATATATATTGTCATTTATAATTGTACGGAAATTTGTTGTAGTAGGTATTTAGGTTTCTAGTTTATGTTTTTTGTTTTTGTCTGTATTTGTAGTGCGCATTAGCATGCTCAAAAGTTTCGTATATACATAAATAACTATTTAAGGGTCTTGACTGAAAGGATTACGAACAAATAAAACATCCCTTTGGATGCATAGAAGCAGAGATCCGGCAACATTGTGTTCAATCAAAATCTCATGGTTTTAAAATTACTATGACTGTATAAGGCGTGCAGTTTCTCTCAAAAATATTCCAAAATATTCTCAAATAGTGTTAAAGCATGGCCAAGAATTTAGTTAGAATAAAATAAAAAACATTTCCAGATTTTCAACATTTGAAGTAATTCACAATTTCAAGCATGCCCAATTATTTGAAAACAATTTAGAATAAAATCCGTTTATTAATTTATTTAGTTTTCAAGTTACATACGTCTTTCAACAACATTCACTTCTGCTTAAATGAAATCTGCATAGTTTCTGTCTAATCATAGAAGGTTTAATTCTCGCATTAATTAAACAGCCACATCACAGAAATCTTGTAAATAAACTCTATAGAATATATCTATAAATACATTACAGTAAAAACTTAAATAAGTAAATGCATATACAAATAATGAGACGAAACAGCAAATAAGTTTACAAAAATTATATAAAAATTGATAAAGATATAGTATATATATACAAATATATATATATATATATTAAAAAATATTAAATTTAAATTGACAAATACAAAGCAAATGGAAAACTATGCTATTAGTTCTTTCTCAAACAAACAAAAACAACCAGACAAAATACAAAAGCAAAAAACATTTAACTATTAATTTAATTATAATATAAATAATGAATTAATTAATTGACTTTAAGTAAACTAATTAATTATGATTATGAAAAAAGCAAACAAAACTGCTACAAAAAGCAACAACAACCACAAGAACACAGAACATGAGAAATGATAATAAAAAAAACAAGGAAAACTACTATTTTATAAAATAAAAATATTGAAAAGGTGTGCGACTGAGTTCTCTATATTACTGGTTTGGGGATAAAGAAATCCGTTTCTTTTTGTAGTTGTAATTTGTAAAGTATGACTTGCTGGGTTTTTGAACTTGCAGTCTTTGCAATGTTTTTCCACTGCTTAACAGGTTTCATCCAAGCTATATGCTTTCATCTACTATGGATTGCTCTCAGTGATATAGGTATGTAGTTCATGTCCGTCTGCTCTGCTGCTGTCTCCGAAATCCAGGCGTTCGTCTAGACGGGCGGATATTAAACATCGGATCGAAACTGCTTATTTCAATATTTTATATAATTTGCACAAGCCCCTTTTACCATTTTGAAAAGGGGTATGCAAATTAAGTGGAAACTGGTCAGTCTGAAGTAAGTACAATCGTTGCAAACTTTTCGAAAATATGTACTCATAGAAAATAATAAGTTCTGTGGATTAGCATACCAAATATTATAATTTAATTTTCAAAATATTGAAAATTACTTAGTAGTCCATATTTTCGAAGGTTTTAAGCATTTCCTTATAATTATGTATAAACTGGCGGTTTTGTTCGCATTTTCCCAAATTTCCTTTTGGACAATAGTCAACACTATTTTAAATTTAAAGCACTATTTAATTCAATTATTAGATTATTTTATGTTTTTTTTTTTTAAATTATTTTTATTATTTATTCGCATTTGTTAGCAAATGTAAAGGCACTTTATAAAAATACACATAAAAATACATACACACTTATAAATTAGTATACAAATAAACGCTTTTTTTGGTTAACAATGAAACACACAACGCTGTCAAAGATCTTGGCTGGACAAGCCGCAACGACGAACACTTGGGATTTGGGGGAAGCCTCAGCTTCAGCCCCGCCCAGGCTTTATCCTAGGCACGCACTCTGGAGGCCTTCTTGCTTTTGTCAGCCTTCGGCGGTGGCGGTCCACTACGACCGCCCTGCATGTGACGATTGTAGATGCTGTTGTGAACAAAGGAAAAAGAGATTTAGTGGATGCGAGATTCTCCCAAAATCTCTAAATACTCACATTTTGTAGGTATCTGTTTTCAGATACTCTATTACATGACTTATGCCCAGCAGATATTGTTCAGCTATGGGATTAACCCAGGGATTCTCCTCCATTTTCATTACCGACTTGTTGCTCAGCAGATCCAATTGTGCCACCTCGGGTGGTAGAACCTGTAGCCGATTGTTTTGAATGTGCAGCTCACGCAAACGCGCCAAATCGCCAACCTCACGGGGCAGCTCCAGAAGATCGTTATCCCGCAAGCCTAGTATCTGCAGGTTCTTCAGCTGACCCACCTCCTTGGGCAAGTACTCGAAATCGTTGTCGCCCAAATACAAGGCACGCAAAGTCTCCATGCCAAAGAAATTTCCAGGAAGGACTTGCTCATTGAGATTGTTGTACGACAAATCGAGCACTTCGAGCACGGGGAAGGCGCCGAAACCGCGAGGCAAGTTGTCCAACCGATTGATGCATACATTCAGAATGCGCAGCTTGGGCATGGAGGACAGCGAGACGGGCAACTCTCGCAGCTGGTTGTTCGAGAGATTTAGTATTTCCAGGTTCAACAGATTGGCGATTCCGGGATTAATAAGACTGATTTTGTTGTGGGAGAGCGTGAGACGCGTGATGTTGGACATGTTGACTAAGGGGCAAGCAAGAAAAGAAGATAGAAGTTGTTAATTAATAACTTAGTTTATTGGATTAATTGAAGTATGGTGTTTTGGATAGAGCCTTAAAGCTTATGAGTTTCATTTTCCTCATATAGGGTCGAATTTTACCAAATATGACATGAGTGCGTACCAGCTCTTAAATCTATAAGTTCATAAAAAGAAACGAAGTTAAAGCTAATCGCATAAAACAATGGTTGCTTTATAAAAACTTTGAATTTAATTTTCTCCATATAGGGTCACATCTATTCAGTTTGTTTATATCTAGAATAATAGCATAACAAACTCTAATACTTTTAATTAATTGATAAATCGAAAGTAATACGGTGTATCAATTGCACTTATGGTGAATTTTTAGCGCACCTTCCCAAAAATGTAGTAAACAATTTAAAAACCTTTAAAATGCAATTATAGGATTTTTAAAAAAATTGTTTTCCATATCTTGGGGTGCAAATACGCGGAAATTAATTCAAAAAGATACGAAAGGTGTCTTGTTGAAACAACAATTATAGTTTTTTTGGCATTCTATTAAATCTGCCTAATTTTTAAAAACAAATTAAATTATGTTTTTATGAAATATGTATTTAAATTTTGCAAGTAACAGTGCTCTAGTATATTGCCTACTGGGCTCAAACAATAACATCCGGCAACAGCTGTTCGTAGCGCACGCAACAGGTCGGGATTGCCATGAGTGCGAGCGTGATAACGCTAGTAACGTACAAGCATGCGCACTGCCGACCCTTTCTATGTTGAATTTTTTATTTTCAACAAATAAATAAGACACAAAATACATATACCTCAAAAAAATTAAATTAAAATACACTCTAAATTACGTTATAAGTGCACCCATTAAAATCTTGAACCGTTTCAATCATATGTAAGTCTGAACACAACACATTGTATGCAAATCTCAGCACTGTTTGTTTTGGGCGCTGGCGTCATCGTCAGGGCAGCCAAAAATAGCAATAAATGAGGCTTTAAGTAGTAAACGGTTTTTAATAACAATTTTTGTTGTCTAGATAGTTAAAAAGAGGTCTTTGAAACTAGCACAATTGAAGGCAGAAGTTAGTTTTGAGAAACAAATTGTGGCAGCTGGTATGCGATGCGTGGGTGACGCCACTTTGAAAAACTTGTATATACAATTTATTACTCCTTTAATTGCTACTTACACAAGCCGGGCAGCTCCTCGAAGGATACTAGACCCTTTTCCACCAAGTCCAGTTCACATTCGCCCGTTTCTCGCGCTTCATCCAACACTTTCTTTGCCTTCGACATTTTTGGTGGCAGACAGGAGACTGTAGACTGACTCATTTTTGTTGTTGCTTGGTATTATTGTGGTATTATTTTTTGAGATTATTTAGGTATTCCAGCAGCGCTGAATTTTTGCTGCAATTCCAAGCAGATTTAAATTAAATATTTAATGAGATTTATTAATTTACTTTATTTTTAATTACATTCTGCTTAGTTAAATTTGTCCATAATGTTTATTTGTTACATTTTTGTTTAAATGTTTGGTTACGTTATTTGCTAAATATTTAGTAGCGCACCGCATCTTAAACTGTAAACGCGCTGTTCGCTTGTCAACCTACGATTTTCAACCTTTTAAACTACGCCATTTAGTGTGCATTTTAAGCGGGCTCAGGGCTAGAGTAATTTAGTTTGCACTTTTTTCAACTTCAGAATATAATATATAAAACTTTTACTCAGCAATTCTTTCTTATTTTATTTTGTTAACTTTTCCCGTTTAGTTCATTTGCTTTGTGATTGGTTCTGCACTCGACTAAATGTCCAATTCCGAGCCCAGCGATTACCACACAACAAATCTAAAACTGTACTAGCTCTCTTCGTTTTATTAAAAACAATAACAATTTTATTTTGTAAAACTTCGGACCACTTTAGTCAATATCATGTCATTACTGATCCGGACAAGCTTTTTTTATCATTTCTAAAGAATCCATTTATAGGTTCAACTTTCTTGGTGCATTTCTTTGCTAATATTGCTTTACACCTAACGGTGCCGCACAGTGCATTTAAAACTGTTAGCGCTCCCTTAATACAAACACACATATGTTTCTTCTGCAGCCATTTTCACAAACTTTCCAGCACTTTTCCGTTGGTTTTCCGATTGACTGGGTCAATGTGTTAAACGAAAAATGCACTTGACCCTTTTTTAATACAGAAGTTACCATAAATAGCCGAAAAATACCCATAAATACAGACACACACACACACTCACACACCTTTGCGGGCGCTTCAATCAAATGTGAGCATCAGCTTCTGTGCTTTACATCTGCGACCCTCAGATAATTATTTTATTCAATTAATTTTCACAGGTATGTGTATTTCTCTTTTCTCACTTTGAAATCTAATCACAAAAATAGACGTCTGTGTGAAAAACCAAATGTGAGAAGCGAATGCGTCACCTTTGGCGACGCGCGCGTAACTGACGCGGCTGAGGCGACGCGCATTTTACAGCAACGTCTGCTGCGCTGATTTGTTGCTCTGCGTCTTGTTGTTGCTTTAGTTGTTTTTGTTGTTTCTGTTGGTTTTGCCTTTTTCGATTGTCGAGACAGTCGATAATAAAAACAAAAGCTAAACAACAAGAAACACACAATACTTCAATAGCTTCATATCAAATAATTTATACTCTTTCTTATAGAAAGAAAGATATGTATCTGCGTTTGTGCATTTAAATTGGCAATTATTTTACTCTTCTTGTTAAAATTTGGAATATATATTTAATATATAGCAAGCAAATTTTTTTTTTTAGAAATTCTAATGGGCTAGCTTTATTTATGAGTTTACAAAATGGATTTATGCTTTATGTTACAAACCCTTAAAAGAAACAAATGATACTCTTTGACGGAGAGAAAAGAAGCTGTCCAACAAAACTTGATATGCAAGAGTGTACTTTTTTGTTTATTTTATTTTTTTAAATATATATGTATGTAGGTTTGTTTGCCGGCATCTTCTCAGCCAAACTAGTTTGACAGCATTTCGATGAAGCATTGAAGAGGCGCTATTTATTATGCCTTTAACGCCCTACACCTACATATATATAATTGATTCGATCCGGACAAATACATTTACTGCAAAAAGCCTACAAATTTTTATAAAGAATGTGCAAAACCAAATCCCTATTTTTCACTTCATGCTTCCATTTAAGTCTGTTCAGTCTTTGTTATTTATTTTTACGCAAAGCTAAGCTGTAGCATTAGTAAAATATATTTTCTGATGAAAAGAAAGTCAATTTGAATGAATCGAAGGGTTTAGGGACATGCAAGAAAGGAAGTTCCAATATTTTCTAACCGAAATTGTAGTGGATGGTGGTGCCCGAGAACTACGCTTCCAAAACTCAAGAGTTAATAGTTCTGAGAATATACTAGAGGTGTTAAAATGTAGTCTTCTTCTAAAGGAAGTGTAATTATATAAACACATATCTTCTAATATTATGATTAAATATAACTGCCGATTTTAAATGAGTTGATATAATTTAATTTTATTACTACATAGAGATGTATTCATTCATTTGTATTATTCATAAAACACTTGAATTGACGAACGAATACCAAAAGTTTAAAAGTATTTAATAAATGTAATTAACTAAGGCCCCCGGAAACCAGAGCCCAAGTCTAAGTTCTGATCAATACAACCAAAACCCACACTTCACAGGGCAAACTTTTTATTGTTTTCCAAAAATAGGGAAAATTTGACCAAATAGGTAGCTCTAAGACCATCTGGTATGCCCATAGCCTATATTTGCAATTGTTAATGCTCCGAGTCTAAATTGTATTATAAAGTAAAAGTAAAGGCAGTCCAAAAAAAATTAGAGTTAGCTTCTTTAACATCGTGATGTGCTAAGATAAAATTAAGAGTGCCTAGAGAAGAGATCACGTCGCCGACGTATGGGTTGTGATTAATATCTTTGAAGCCTTTCATCTGTACTCGAAATTATCAGAGCTACATTTTCATTATATTGAGATTATTAGGCTGAATTAGATGCTGAATTGAAATTCGGAATTCTGTAAAAACAAAATTAGAATAAAACCTTTTCAATAACACTTACATTAAAATAGTTTACTGAAAACATAAAAAATGAACGGTGCGTGCCTTCATTCACTATCCTTTTGAAACGCAACACCGCTCGTTGTAATGACAGATCTTTGAAACAATTTCCGATTCCTCTACGTCGCGGCATTTTTTTGCGCAATTTCCACCTCGCTCACATTCTATGTTCAAAGCGGAAAATTGTTCAATTTTTCTCGAATTCATTAAAACACGCATCCCCTCTAGGCAGCTAATGTGGGCGAAAAGTAAGAATAGTCCCAAGGTGGTCAGAGTTAGCTTCTTCAACATGATGATGCGTTGACATTAGTGAAAAGAAACAATTCTAATATCCAATATAAGTATATAGCTGACTCGTATTTTACTGTTATACAATAACATAAACGACCCTTGCAAATTCCTTTAAACAGTTCTAAGCTACCGTAAATAATACGAATTATAAATTTATAAAGTAATCCAGAAAAGGGAGCCCTTAACACAAGCATGGTTTGAAACAACGCTTCACAGAGGTGGATTGGCCAGGGCACTAAATAAACGATCCTTTTTGTCCAAGTATAGGTTCTGACTAATAGTACGTCTAAAGCCCCACACTTCACAAAGCTACAAGTCTGGAAAGTGTATGAAGTACTCGTCGTCTATTGGCTTGTAGAAGTTGCCTAATCTGGACACTAAATAAGTTTCTATATGCCCTTCATCTATACATGAAATTATTAATGTTCAGAGATAAATTTTTATTATACAAATTACGATGTATATCCGTACATTATTAGGCATTAGATGTCGACACTTTCAGGTGTAATTGATATTCTGAATCGTGTAAGAACAAAATTATTCATACATTATCCTTTCGCATCGCAACACAGCTCAGTAAAATCACAGGTATCTGAAACAAATTCCTTTCCAGTTAAGCTGTTGCATTTTTTTGAGCACCTTCCGCCTCGCCCACATTCTATGTTCAAAACGGAAAACTATTCAATTTCTCTTCAAATCTGTTACGGATTATAATCACTTACTCGCCCCCTCTAGGCAGCTAACGTGCGTGTAAAGTAAGAAGAGTCCCAAAATAGTCAGAGTTAGCTTCTTCAACATGATGATGCGTTGACATTAGTGAAAAGAAACAATTCTAATATTCAATAGAAATATATAGCTAACTAATTTTTTACTGTTATACAATAGCATAAACGACCATTACGAATTCTTTTGTTCCGGTTTAAATAATACAAATTAGAAAGAAAGGGAGGCCTTAGCCCAAGCATGGCTTGCAACAATATTTCACAGAGTTGAAAACCTGGATGGTCCTACTTAAATGGACTGGCCAACCAACTTTGGTTGTTCCAGCCTTTATAGTTTCTGAGATCCTTGCGTTCATCCAGACGAACAGACGGACGGTCGGACATGTCTAGATCGATTTCTCTCGTCATGCTGATTCAGAATATATATATATATAATTTATGGGGTCGGAGATGCTTCCTTCTGCATGTTACATACTTTGCACAAACCTAATATACCCTTTTTAGCCTACGGGTACAGGGTATATATTTTAAATGTTTAGGTAAACGATTTGTCACTCAGACTTTTTGGTATATCCCCTCATTCTTCGGTTACAATAAATTACCTTAAAATTCGAAATCTGTTCGTTGAAAAAAAGCGAAATAAATAAATTAATATCCAGTTGCTTTAATTGAACATATGATGCTCTAACTCGTTTGCTCAGCTGATGGAGGAAGGCAGCGCTACATTCGTACAGTTGTGCGTTTGTTTACTCCAAGCTTACAACAATATTGATTGATGGGACATTGCGTTGAAAGCATAGCGAACCCCGGTCTAAATGGACATCTTTCAATTTTCTCCACACACACCCAATTTTTTTCTTCACATTGTTTTACTAAAAGATTGATAAATTGGATATAGTTTTCAATCGCTTGGCTTAATTTCTGCATACTAGTACTTACATTTTTTGGTTTCCCCAATGATATAATTGTAGCTAACCACCAGAAGTAGAACCAGGCATTGAAACAAGAGACATACTCGTAGTGTTGCGGCCATTGTTGAAGGCGGGAAAAACCGAACTGCCTGAACAAGTGAAATAGAATTGCTTCAAGTAGCAACAAAATTATGAAAAGCCGCTGTCCAGCATAGTGGACTTGGGCATACCCTGTGCTTAATCTTAAATGGGGAGGGTAACATATATATTTGTATTCTATATTAAATACTTGTATACCTTGTAATATGAAATTATTTATATTTATATAAGAGTTGGTGAATGCTTGCGCAAACAGAATAGCTAGTTCGTGTTGGAAAATGAATGTAAAATCTGAAACTAGTAACGATTTTATTTTAAAGATAACAATGATTGACGTCAGCAGTTTTTATTTAAACAATATTGATTTATTAGGTAATTTTCTTTTCGCCAGCAGTTTTTATTTAAACAATATTGATTTATAAGTTAATTTTCTTGTCGGATCCTACATCTCGATTGGCTTGCAACAAAATTCTCCAGCGGCACATTTACTTGAAATAACGACGGCACCCGGTCTAAACGGGCAAATATTAATATCCGAGGTGCATTGCCAATCTTCTTCTTCACATTCTGTAATTCATAGTTGATATATTTTAATAGATTATTTTGTTTTGAAATTCCGTATCCAAAGGTTAGAAAGGCTATATTAGGTTTGTGAAAAATATATAACAGAGAGAAGGAAGCTTCTTCGACCTCATAAGCTAATTCATACGATTCGTTGTTGTTTATTACTTACGTTGAAATCCTTCCGCACTCATATAGCAAATCACCAGAAGTAGAACTAAGCACTTCCAACAGCGACTAATTGCTGAGGCCATTGTTGAAAAAGGGAAAAAATTAAATGTGAGCAAATCAGTTGAAATTGCTTTTAAATACAAACAAGTGCGAGTGAATATAAGTTGTGAGGGAAAAGTTTATGCCAATAGGTGCCTCGAATAAACATCGTAAAATATTATATCAGATATAATTTTGAAAGCGCAGCTAAGTTTCGTTCAGGGTAGAGCGTTAAAGTTGTGTCAGTCCGGTTCCCGTTAGTTCTTTTCAACCTAAAATAGATTTTGTTAATCCTATTACAAGTATTCCTATAATAGCAGCAACGTCATCAGACGCTAAATTTATACTATATTACAAATAACAGATTTGTTTAAGATATCTTTATAAATATACTAATAACATGAGTTCTGCCACGTGTCCTTGTGCCGCTTACATATATTTTGCGTGCACTCTTTTGGGTGCAGGGTATAAAAATCGTCTATGAAGCGCTTACTAACGCCTTACGGTTCATAATGTTTTGTTTAATTGAAAGTGTATTCCAAGAGGTGTCTACTATCAATTATATCGTAAAAAATGTTATCGTAGATATTGTTTATGCGCAGCCACGTTTAAAAATCATCTGTGAAGCGTGCTAAATATTTATTTAATATTCGTTTTTTTCTTATTATAGTAGAACCTGATTTACCATAGACAAAGCGAATGCAGTTATTTTGTTTTTTGTCTTAGAGTACACAAGGCTTTTGTTGGAAGTATTTAAGATTCAGATCATACAAGCATTAAAGCATATTTCCCCCCTTAGGAGTTCAATTGTAGTTTTCTAGCTTTTACCGTTTATCATTAAACAGTCAACTATTCTCGACAAACTGTTTAATATTTATTTAATATTATATTCTTTTATGTATAAAAGCGATCTTCACAATTCATTGCATTGCATTCGCTTTCGTCAGATAATGTTCAACAATTTCGCAATAGTCTTTGTATTGCTACTTGGCGTGCTCTGCTGCTGCAGCGCATATAGTAAGTGTTGATAAATAAATAAAACAATACTATAGTTTTAAAGGTTAATCTGATTTGTAAGAGCTAATCAATAAATCAATTAGTTGAAGTGCGTGCGTAACATACTCGAATATTTTCTATTTTCGTTTTAGAGTGTGGAATAGGTGGAGAATGCTTAAGAAAAATTACACGATGCTCCAAAAATATACAATATACTTTTGACTCAAAAGACTGTGATGCGGGTGAGAAATGTTGCATTTTATTTGACTTTGACTGAATGATAGATGCGAGCAGGCGCAACTCGTAAATACCCTTAAATACCCAGTCCATTCTATTTTAACAATTAATATTTATAAAAAATTATCAGCCAATAGATTCAGGAACGCTTATTTAGAAAAGAATTGAGGTCTTTTATTTAATTTCGAATTGACATATGAATTCATGAGTTAGTTAAATGCCAATATATCGAGTTATTGAACCAAAAATTGCTCAACAGTCAATCAACATTCGAAAGACATCATTAAAGAGCCCAGTTATGAAACCAAGCGTTAAAGCACCCCCCCTGCCTACGCCCTTGTTTGATTTGTTTCTACGATTTGAAGGGACTTATTAATCGAAAATTCATTTCACCTGACCAAACGGTCAATGCCTTGTCTTATATTGTTGAATCGTAAAGGAAGTATTTGCTTGTTGCACGAAAAGATGCTGCCTCATCGGCGAACTCTTGATTGAACAAAAATCCGATTTTAGCCCTCAACCAATTTCTTTAATCGTCTGATTTGGTTCGGTGTATAAAGGTTTTGAAAATTGTAGTACTTGAAAAGACGGGCTTTAAGGACGTCAAATCTACCATTGTGAAAGACATGCCGGGCAACTGTTCTTTCGCAAGTAACTTTTTTAGAATTGAACGATTTGTTTAAAACTTTATAGATGACGTGTGCAAAGCTTGGTTTATGTAGCTTTTAAAATGTGGACAGTATTGACAAAATTTTGTAGCGGGCAGAGGTGGTGCGGAAATCAAAAAAATAAAATAAACTCTTTTAACCTAGGAACTACTTGTAGAAGCGGCGTTTCCCGTTTCCGAATTCCGGGCGTTTAGCCAAGCGGACATTTCTAAATCGATATCTCTCGTCATGCTGATCAAAAATATATATATACTTTATGGAATCGGAAGTGCTTCCTTCTGCCTGTTACATAATTCGCACAAACTTAATATACCCTTCTTACCCTAGTTGTACAGGTTATAGTAATGTACGATTTTGTCACACTCTCATACACAACTGTAAGAAATTAGAATATTCATAGTTTCAGAACAGCAATATAAACCTATTTTAAAGACGAGTTCAAACCATATTCGGTTTAGTTATTGTAGAGAAATGCTGTTCAAACTAGCTCTGACTTTCTTGGTGCTACTTAGTGTTCTCTTCTGGTGTGATGCACAGACAAGTAAGTGGTACATATATCAGAAATAGGGAATTTTTGTGTAAATTATTTTCTGGTCTACATCTTAGAATGTGAAAATGGAGGAGAATGCGTTAAAGACTCTAGAATATGTGGTAAGGGACTCTCCAGAAAATCTCCGATGTGCCAACCAGACGAGAAGTGTTGCATATGGATAACTAAATAGGCGGAACAGGCAAAAACTTGCAGATACCAACATGAAGAAGGGTAGTGGGATGACTACATCCTGGTTCTGACAAAGTTCTCCTTTTACTTAGAGCATGTTAAATAAACATTTATTTATTAATAAAAGCAAACAACTATCATTTTTATTCAATAACCGACATCCAAAGAATTATTAAATAGTTGAAATTTAGAAAATCGGAAGTATGACATTTGTAATGACATTATTATACCCTGTACCCGGAGCGTAAAAACTCGCCTTGCTTGAATGTAAGGGGAGTCCACGTACTCGTACCATTTGTTGGTGAATGTGGAAAACCAAGCTTTCATTCAGACAGACAGATGGAACGGCCTTTATCTAGATCGATTCGTCTTGTCATAACAAGACCTTAGACTTTGTCACACTGTTGCACAACTGTAATAAATTAGAATATTCATAGTTTCAGAACAGCAATATAAATCTACTTTAAATACAAACTGAAACCATATTCGGCTTAGGTATTGCAAAAATGCTGTTAAAAATATCTCTGACTTTCTTGGTGCTACTTAGTGTTCTCTTCTGGTGTGGTGCAGAGAGAAGTAAGTGGTACATACTATATATCAGAAATAGGGAATTTTTGTGTAAATTATTTTCTGGTCTACATCTTAGAATGTGACGGTGGCGATGCATGCGTTAAAGACTCTAGAATATGTGGTAAGGGACTCTCCAAAAAATCTCCGATGTGCCAACCAGACGAGAAGTGTTGCATATGGGTAACTAAATAAGCGGAACAGGCAAAAACTTGCAGATACCAACATGAAGAAGGATAGTGGGATGGATGCCTCCTGGTTCTGACAAAGTTCTCCTTTTACTTAGAGCATGTTAAATAAACATTTGTTTATTAATAAAAGCAAAAAAAAACTATTGTTGATATTTAATAATCGACATCCAAAATTGTTCATATCTTTAGTAAACCTGAAGTATGATATTTTTTATGATATATTTATATATATACATTTATACCCTGCACCCAAAGAGTATATATATATATATATATATATATATATATATATATATATATATATATATATATATATATATATATATATATATATATATATATATATATATATATATATATATATATATATATATATATATATATCAAACTTGGTATGTAGACTCCCCTCGAGTTAAAGCATCGGAAGTTTGTTTTGGTACAGGGTATTTTATTGTCGGGCTTGCTTGACTGTAAAGTTCTCTGTTAATATAGAACGGCAAGTACTGTAAATATGCTAAACTATAATTTCATGGCAAACGATATTTTTTGATTGGCTTAAAACTGCCTTTGCTGTACCGATTTTACTGGTAGTTGCTTTAACTATGTGTATGTGCTACATATACAAGTATAGCCTATTTGCAATATTTTGAACGCTTCCGCCTCAGACTTACAGATTATTTTCACTATTTCGTAACTGTAGAAAATTATAATATACCTTGCATTCCACATGCCATAAATAAATGAATTTGTGCTAAGATTGTGCCATATTCGGTTTTATTACAAGTAATTCGGCAGAATGTTGATGAAGTTTTGTCTGACTCTCTTGGTGCTATTTTTTGTGCTCTTCTTGTGTGATGCTCTAACTGGCAAGTGTTGATAATACCAGGAATATGGCATTAATGCACGAGCTATTTTCGCATTTCTTACTTAGGTTGTGAAGGTGGAGGAAAATGCAGAAAAGATACTGCTGACTGCAAGAAATATGGAAAAATTACGAAAATATCTAAGATGTGCAAAGCCGACGAAAGCTGCTGTGTTTTCGATGAAGAAGAATAAATAAACAGCTACAAAGAATCGTCAACATTTCAAAACGAAGCACGGAGAGACTTTTAGTTAAAATTTCATTAAAATCTTGTTAGTATATTAATTGGCTTTAAATAAATGTATGGAAATGGTAGTTTTTTGCAATAATTTGCAGTATTATTCACTTAACAACTTCCGACGCTGCGCACAAGGCAGAAGAAAACAGAAGAGGAAGAGTGAACCCCTTATAAGTGGACTTTAATAATCAAACTGTGTGAGAAAAATTATGAAAGTGTGAGAAACTGTTTCTTTCTTTACTTTATGTTAAGTGTAAGAACCTTTTTGCACATTTAGTTATAATGAAGAACCAGTGCTTTGTCTTTTGTATTGGGCCTCCCTGATACTCCCTTACAATAGGTACAAAATATTTCAAAGTCTATAAGCTTTAAAAATGATATCGGCATCGTAAATTTTTTGATGGTTTTGTTGTACTTTAAATAAGCATTACTGGCATTCTAAATTTAAATGGTTATTAGTCACGCTCATTTAAAAAGTAATTCGCTAGGGTTACTTACGCTGTTGTATGTAACACAGTAGGATCTACTCAGCTATATGCAATACTATAGCATATAGAAACTGTTTTTTTCCCCCTTTGGTTAAAGCATTACGATGTTGAAGAAGCTTACTTTGACCATTTTCGGACTATTCTTACTATTCGCCCACGTTAGCTGCCAAGAGTGGGAGGAAAATGCAAGCAAGTGATTAAATTTATAATACTACTTTTAGATTATTCAAGCAGTTTTGTTTTTCAACATAGGATGTGAAGGGGGTGGAGAATGCCTGGAGGACTATACCCATTGTCACAAGGACAGTAAATTACGATTTCCTTCAAAAGCCTGTAAATCTAATGAGATGTGTTGCATTTGGTTAGGACATCGGGCCGGCAGTGAAGCTCTTCTGGAAGGAATTAATCACTTAAATTAAATCGTCTGCGTGCTCCGCAATTTTTGAATTCAAATTCAATTCTGAGTAGAGCTTGGCTAGAGCTATTGATTTCGTCTTCTTAGCCGCATCTCATAATTAGGCAGAGTTATTTGTTTATTTGTACTATTACTATAAAATGTGTACAAGCACTATAAAACCTGAAACCAAAATCAAGCTACAATATTTTAATACGGAAATTAAATTCCCATTTTTATTAAATTTTGATTAACATTTTTTTTATTTATAAATCTTGCATACCACATATAGTGTGTTAATTTGTAAACATAATCTAGGGAGTGTGTCGGGTCTATTTGCAAAGTCAAGAATAACAGTGTTTAATAGAATCGACTCCTACACAAGAATCTAAACTCCTATATACTTAGCGATGATCACAATTTTTTTCGGGTTTTGTTTGAAATTGCTTCTAAAGTTTCTAATGCACATCAATTAAAGTTGAACAGCATATACGAGTAGGTGCCTTCATATTTCTGGTCATGACATGAATGCCGACTCATTTATTTATTTCTCATCGCTGCTCTCGTATGGGTGGCTGTTTCCGTTTTGCTCACTCGCTGCATTTTTAATTACTTTGTGGCTCATTGTTGTTGGGGATTGTGGTGTCTGCCCCACGGTTAGTTGCCAGCTCCGTCATATTTTCATTTTCATATTAATTTTCATTTCGCCTGTTGTTGTCGAATTTGCCAACGAAAGTTTGTCTTTGGCGGCTGGCGTTGCATAATTTGAATGTTGCATACTTTTTGGGGGCATTTCGTGGTGCAACCATGTTGATTTTGCTCCAATGTGCGTGCCTGTATAAATGTGTGTGTGTATCTGCATGTGTGTGTGTGAGCTACATTTCCGCTTTATAAAATATGCAAAACAATGCAAGCTCTATGTTGTTCAGCAGCGAAAAAACAAAAAACATCAACTTTTCAGAGACCAGAAATTAATTTAGTTTTAGATGAACATTTTCGACTTGCTGGTGCAAGAATAGCGCGCTCAACATTTTAGGTAGAATTTTTGCTGCTAATGTTGTGGCAACACTGGCCATTGTGGCTCCTCTGGCTATTCATTTTTTCTAAATTAAGTTTTTTGTTTGTTGTTTATTTTGGTTGCCAAACTTCTGAGTGGTGGCAAATGGCGCTAATTTTGAAATGGAATGTTTTATGTCAAAATTTGCAATGAGAAATAGTTGATGCGAGCAGCTAAGAAATAATAAACAAATAATCCGAATTTTAAATGTTCATAAACAAATATTGTGTGCTTGGCTTAGTTTTTGAGTATAAAAGTACCATCAAAAGTTTTCATAAACAAGTTATGGGATGACTTTAAAAAAGAATTTTAATTGAATAAATTTAAATTAAATTACACATTATATTTGAATTTTGAAAAAATATGACCTGAAGGCACTAATGACAAAGATTGCTATTAAATGAATTATTAAATTGAATGCATCGATAAGGAGCCACGGAGAAGAAGGCTAGTATTTTCAGTGATGGTGTTCAGAGACAATTTAATTGCACAAAATGTATCATGCCAGGTCAAAACACATCGACAACATCCTTAATTTTACCCGGGAAGTCATCCAGTAGTACTTAAAACAGCTAAGTTATTTTTCAACTCTTAATAAGTAGAAATATTCTCAAACAAGCAAAAGCAATTTATGTAAACAATGCCATATTTTCACATATTCTCTCATAAAGGTATGCTCTGCTCTTGTCTACACCACTAAATGCTGAGGTCAGCAAATAATACATTTAAATAAATTTAGAATGGTTTCATTAATCATTTCGCTGCAAGCCTTACAAATGCGAAATGTGGGCTTAAGTATCTGTTAACTTGTGGAATTTACGAGCTGATGTGCATGAGTATGTGTGTGTGTGTGTGCGTAAACGTTCGGGAGAAGTGGAATGCGTCGCATTTTAACAATAATTCATTTTGCATTGCGTCTGTGATTGGTATTACCATAAATTATTCAGTGTCGAACACTCACAGCTATCACCCAACCCCACCTCAGTCCAGTCCAGCCCAGCCCAGCCCAGTCCAGCCCCTGCGGCTGTTCGGGCAATTGTGTTGCGGTTTTATTGCGTGCCATTTAAATGAATTGTAAAATATGCAAGTTAATTTGAAAAACGGCCCATACTATGTTGATGGGGACAGCCATAAATTCGCATTAAGTTGTAAAATATTTGGCATCATTGCCATTAATGATAGACGCATTAAATGTGGGTGCAAAATGTAAATTCCAACTAAGCTCAACTACAAGTATATGCAGTATTTGCTGCATTTTTGCACTCGCACTATCGCACAAAGTTGTCTTTGTCGCTTTCAATCTGTTGAGTCTATGAAATGCCTGATTGAATAGCTTCAACTGGCAGCCAGTTGCACATTGTCACAAAAATATAAATGACTGATTTTCTGCCAGCTGTCGGCACATTGGCCTGGGTATATCCGTCTGTAGTTACAGACAGCCTCCATGTAATGTCGTCCTTTACTCACCAGCCATTGCTACTATATTTCTGGCAATTTTTCACTGCGCTTTGTTTACACTAAGCCCCCATCCAGGCGGAGAGGGGACGAGAGACCAATCATTGGCAATGGTATCTTTTGTGTCTTGTTGCCAAGCAGGGCAGAGCGCTCGACCAGCCCTGTCGTTTAGTCGGCCAGCCACAACCGCAGGCTCTGCCTTTTGCTGCCAGCCTGCACTTAGGTACCTTATCCTCTGCCTCTGGGCTCCGGCTCAGTGCCGTTTGATTTACTTCAAACAATTGGCAACATCATACATCAACGCGTTTTTTGTTTTGCTACACAATCCTTATATGCAGAATACTTGGGGCAGAGGTTCGCCTCCTCCTGGCTCGTTGGCTTGCTTTCAATCACGTTTGTACCGATTTTTTTTAAAGGTTCAATTTAGCAGCTTTTGCTCACAGCTTTGGCTTACCCGATGCTCGAATGTGACATATGTAATCTGCCCAAGCTTCGTAGATGCCTGATAAATGGCTTAAAACATGTGCAAGTTATGAGTTTCGAGAGCTTGCACAATCTTGTTCGCACAATCAAGCAAAGTAAGACGATAAAGAAAATAATATAAATGCTTAAGATATGTGCGATGAGTGGGTTATTTGATATTTTGGTTTTAAAATTAAACTATAT